GGAGAGAGAGAGGGAGAGAAAGAGAGAGGGAGAGAGAGAGAGACGCAGTGATGAGGAGAAGAGGGTAGGTGGGCGCGAAGAGGCAGCGGGGCCAGGTCCCGAGGGACTACGTGCTCTCCTCTGGCGCTGCTAGCACTCGGGAACGCGAAAGAGGGAGAGGATGGCAGCGGAGAGTAGAGAGGAGGGTAGGGGAGAACTAATCAGCTCGACGCATGCGCACAGGGCTGCTCTTAGGGTCCCTCGGGATTCCCCTGGCATTCCCCATAATATACCCTCTTCTCTCCTGATCCCCGCCGCACCCTCGGAGCGTGCCCTCCCGAACCCCCCGGCCGCCCTCTTTACCTCCTCCGTAGCCTCCGCTTGGTCGCAGCTGTACCGACCGGCTCTACAGGACTTTCCAGTTTCCCAGAGGGGAGTCAAGATCAAAACCGCTCGATGCGATTATTTTACGTTGATTATTTTACATTGTGTACTTTGTTATTATAAAATCAAAAATGCGCAGAGAGAGAGAGAGACACGCAAATGTATCGAATCACTCAACTTTAACTACGTATACTTTTTATATTTATACTTTTATATTTTGCACATCTCATCTTTTCTCGCACAAGATTATATTTTTACACACTTTTTATAAAATAAATTATTTTTCTTTTTCTTTATATAAATAAAACTATAATACTACATTCCTAATTATAATAAAGCCGCTTTCTGGATAACAAATATAAGTTGCCTCAATTACAACAAGGGAAAGAAGTGTGTTTTCGCCTCTATATTCCTCTCTTTTCCACTACTACTCGAATCTGTCACAGCAATTATTACAATATCCTGCGAGAGACAATCCACGAGAGAGAGGGATGTTATTTCGAGTGATGTTACAATCTTCCCTACCGACCGCCGCCGGTCCCCGGCCACCGCGCCGTCACCCACCATCGGGCCCGAGGAGTTGCTGGCTTTCCCCATCGGAATTCGAGATCCCCCATTTTCTTAATGTCAGAGATTTCAATCTGTCACAAGAGCGGCTCGGCAACTTTTCGCTTATCCGTCCGACAATTTCCGCTACCAAAGTTTTGTGTGCCGTGCAATTTAGCTCGCATTAAATTTTCGCCAAAAGATTGGTGGTGATTCGTCAGTGAAAGAGAAAGAGACATTTTCTTGATAAGAAAAAATATACAAGTCATCGATCATCGATCAAATATTCAAATTACATTGGGTTTTAGGAGACAAAATTTTACTTCGAAATTCATTTTGATCGATTAAAAATAATTTAAGATTTTTCAAATTAAAAATCAATTTCAAACTGATCACATGTTTCTGCGTCTTAGCCGTTTGTGTTGAGATCTGTATAAAAAGCAAATTGCAATTGAATATTCTGTAAAAAAAAAAGAAAATTTGCACTAAGAGCATCAATGATCGGTAATTGGCTGTGTGTTTGCACGCAATAACAAGGAGAAAGAGAGAAAAGGAAAGGAAAATCGCAAGCGCATAATTCGACTGACTGAATAATCGAGTCCCGGCGGGGGTGACTCTGACTTTTCGAAGACCGATCTCTCTTTCTCTCTCTCTCTCCCTTTCTCTCGATCTATTTATCTATCTATCTTTTCTTCAGCTGGCGACTGTAATAAGGCGTTAGTCCGCATTTTCTCGCTCTTTCTTTTCCTCTATCTCTTCGTTTCTTTCTTCGTACCTCAACCCTTATGGAAAAAGGAAGCCCCCGGATATGATGACGATAATAATAACAAACGCGTGGGAATATTTGAACACTTTATCTTCGTCGTATTTCCGAAAGCTCGCTGCAAAGTCACTAGTGACCCCACGTGAGTTAAAATATATTTAAAATTCGCATTTTCATTTTTCTTTCAAAGCAAAGGCGTATTACTCGTAAAAATTGCGTTCTCTTCATTTAAACTGTACACGAATTCTTTGTATCTCTCTTAGACAATTTTATTTAATCGCAGGAATATTTTTCACGAAGATAATTATCTTTCTCAATTGATGATCTCAAAGAAAAAGGAATTTCGCAAAATGCTAATTTAATAAAAAGTCTTGTCTCAGGATATCGTCGAGGGGGTCCTACGTCATTCCTAATAGGGCGAAAAAAATTGCCACATGAGCCAATTCCCTTCGAAATGATGATGGGGCGCAGGTGACAAAGGTGATCCTGCACACTGTATATTATGTCGATATATCTCGTAACCGAAATCCTGTTATAGACTTATATTGCCCAAACATGGATTTCTAAAGTAACACTTTGATACCATACATTTTCTCTAAAAAGATATATAATTTAATATAATAATCTGTTACAGATTACAGATATAGTACGATAATGTAAATCATATCGTTTGAAAATAATTCCAACTTAAAAAAGAGACAGAGATATTTTCGCATTTATGTAAATACAAAAAAGATCTAACTTTGTATTTTACATATTATTTAATCAATATACGTTATATCATTATAATTTAATACACGTTAATCTTATCTCTCTCGCTTCTCTCCCTTTCTACTTTCTTCTCTCCTAATTTTATTTTGTGACATGTAAATATTATTTGCGATTAAACTGATCTTCCGAAGGAATCGATGCGTTTGTGCATCTCTAAGATACGTCTCTGCGGAATAATCGCATGGTTAGATAGCGTGTCACAAGCGTTAGAAATTCTTGCCAAGCAAGGCGTATGTATCACGCATCAATTATCACCTCGGCTTAAATAAATTAGGGCGATAAACGCGTTATTGCGTCTCGTGGCTATATACATCTTGAAAATGCCGAACACACGTAATCGCGCTACGAAAAGAAAATATTTGTAACGCTTAAACTGGGACGCATCGTTGTTTCCTACACGCTAACATTCCGAAGCAAATGTTGTTCTTCAAATGTTTTCAAGATAACGCGACGCTTAACTTTAAATGTTTGACGAAAAGGCAAATGTACAAGGATACGTCAATTACGTTCTGCCGAGTGAACGCAAACTTCGAAGACCGGAAAGTGAAACGTAACTCCAGCACTAATATCTTCGCAGTTACTTTGACCTGTATTCTCATTGTGTATTTAGAGTATTTAGAGTATAGCTGTATAGTTTTACTTTACTAAAATAACGTATATCGCGTAAATTCAGCTTGAGGACTTGAAAATTTTCCCGAATAGATCTCTACATATCATATAACATCACACCGTGGTTCATCCCCGGATGTTCAAGGGGGAACAAAAGTTCGAAGTGACATCGATCTATTCGAGAAGGTTCACTCTCTCTAACAATATTAAACACTTCAAGATTTTAGGTCCTAAAGAGAAGACACGCGGAAGCTAGTTTTAAGAGGACGTTTCGCTGATCGTTGCGGGCAAAGATATTAGTGTATATTCGCCGGGGTTGAAAAACGAGAAAGAGAGGAAGACAACGAGGAAAATAACGATGTCCCAATGGTTTAATGAGCGGTGTGGGTACACGGAGCATTAAAGAAGCGGAGGAAGTCCGATGTTTTTCAGGTAAGCAGACGGACGAGGCATCTCCCGTGGGAGTGCGGGCCGCCTCCTGCGGGAGGCAACCTCGTTCTCCGCGAGCTCCTCCAAGCCGGTTTTACCTCCGAGTATAAAGCGCGCGCGCAAGTACACTTTGCGAAAGGTAGCCTGAAATAATAATCGTGCCGTACGTACGGGGGAGCGGATAAAGGTTTGATCTTCCCGGCCTCCTCGGGGAGGAAAACTGCTGGATACTTGGGAAAGGTACGAATCTTTCGAGACAGTTTCGCTAGTTACGTAACAAGGGCGGTACCGTAGGGCACACGCCGCGCGGGCACACTGGGGACGCGGAAATTTTACTTAGCGCAAAAATAGTTCGGATAGAAACTGTCGGGAGACCGTGCGGAAGAAACGAAAAGTAGACGTCGCGAGAGAGATACTGTACGTTTAATCTGTTGGCCATTTCGTTGGCTATCCCGCAGTTTGGAAATAAAAAATGCATTTACGCCGAGAGAATTAAATGATTGCGATTGATCAAATAAATAAATTTCAACCGCCAAGAATATTTAACTATTATTCCTGACAAAATGGCATAGAGAGAGAGAGAGAGAGAGAGAGAATGTGACCGAAATGAATTAAGAGAGAAATTTCGAGTAAAAAAAAACGTTCCGTATCTAATCCCGTCAACCAAGAGCCATTTTTAACGATAATTATATGCGAAAGAGTATGCGAGAAAAGAGAGCGGTGTATGGCCGCGAAATATATTTTCCGCATTTTTCATTGACCGCAAATGAAATACTTCGCGATACAAAATAATCGAGCGTGCATACATTCGCGTACATACACAGCCGCGTGACCAACGAGGGGTTAAAATCCCGTCATTCTGTCGACAAAAAGCCGACGCGCATCTCATCATCCGCGCGCACGGGAAAGAGGCGAAAAATGCGCGATGTCGGCATTGTTCGATGTACATGCACTCGTGCTTGGGTTAGGTACGTGCCGCGCGTTCCCCATGGGATCAGGGAATCCCATATTCATGGGATTTATGGCGGGATCGCGCTTCTTGAACACCTTCGAACAACAATGACGATGCATCGCGACGCATTGTTGCGTGCCCGTAGGGCAATTCGAGTAATGCACCAGAATGCGCCGAGCGACTTTCTCTCAGTCCTTCTCTTTCTCTTTCTCTCGCAATTTCTTCGCATTGTTACGCAAAGAAGGCCGGTTTTGTGCACGTGGGACGGTTCTCATTGCGCAAAGCGATCGATTTTACTGCGAACTTTGATAGAGGAAGATCGCACTTTACACCACGAGACATCCACGGGAGATATTCTGAATTTGAATCAAATATTCCGAAAATTAAACGAGCGTTCCTAATAATCAGGGATCACGACGAAAGACACAATGTATTCCATTTGTTTCTATTATTCTAAATACTTCTTACCTTCTGACTGACGGCTGAACGCTCGTTGTAACTCCTCCTCTTCCTCCTCCTCTTCATCATCTTCTGAAACATATTATTACACGGTTATCTTCCTCGTTCAAAGAAATTTATTTTAATTTTCTTTAATATAAATTATAATACATTTGATAAAAAGAATATAAAATTATTTTAATTTCAATCAAAATCTCTACAAATATTGGCGAACAAATATGGATATTTGTTCTCGGTAAGTATTACAAATATTTGTTCAGTTCGAAATCCACCGTGAAATGATTTAATTTAGATCGAGCTTTTCCGTTTTCAACAACTTCGCCAATTTTTATTATACAAGGTGCGGAAAACGCGTCCTATTTATCTCGTATGATTCACTGTGCAAACGCTGCCACCTGTTGTACGTAAATACTGAAGAAAAGTCCACGGGAGTTGGCAGTCTAACAAATAACACTCACGCTTAATCGCCGTCGTTTCGTTATCCTGTTCGGCCGCTTCCAGGACATTCTGCTCGTTACCGTCGTCCCACTCTTCGTCCCCTGCACAGAGGGAGAGAGAAGCCACCGTTAATTCTATTACATTTGCATACCGCCGGCAAAGAGCGGAATCCGCAGCTGCCCCAGAAGTACATGCGACACAAAACGCGAGATTCCCGAGTTTTAAATCACGCCCCAGAAAATTTTCGAGTCCGCCGCCACGTAACGATCGTTTTTACACTCTCGTAAGCAAAGCTATCTCTGTCGTGAAAATCATTCGCTGTGTATTATCAAAAACGAAACAACAGGCCATTTTTCGTCGTAAAATATATCGGGTCGGTGCACAGGCCGGGGTGGCGGCACCGCCACCCCGTTTGTCACCGTGGGACCGCAGAATTAAACTTAAAAATTACACCCTCGTCCGCATGGCCAACAGGTCGTTTGTTATTTTGCATGGTATCCGATCTACCACCATCGCCTCTCCTCTCGCTGATTCGCTCTTTCATTGTCACATGGAGCGGCAAGTTTATACTGTAAACTAACTTGCCACTCCGATGATTGCGCTTCGATTGCAAAATTGTTTCAAAGGTGTTAAAATCCAGGAGTATACCATGATCTTGTCTACTAAATTTTCATCCGACCGGCATTTGTTATTGTTAACGATAGATTAAGCTAACCAATCGTGCGAACTTTTTCTGCTAATTGTCCAGTGATTTCTGCAAATGCGAAATTACGCGAAAAATTGCACTTATGAAAACGAACAAAAGTCTTTATTAGTTCTTCTACAAACAATTGCAGCGTAGAATTGCGTTAAATTAATTTGTCATAAGTAAGTTGAATGTAAAGATAATTTTCATGTTTTTTTATATATATTTTCTACAATTTAAAATAATTTAAAATGTGCGGACAAAAGGTTGAGAGGATTTAAAAGAAGACTTTCACATAAGGGTGCAAATTAATTTTCGTCTAATCGCGATTCGAACGTTTCTCTAACCGCTAAACGTCAGATGAGAGGCAACGTGTCAAATCTACAGATGGGGCGTTGGGGCTTAAATATTCCAGAAGACGCGACGCGAAGATACCGCGTCCTTCGATCGTGCGCCTCGGCGCCCTACGAACTCTGTCAGCTGTCAGGCATGTCTCACGCCGAGACGCGGTTCGTGTTACCGGTGCGATACCACGACGGTTAATGGTTCATCCATCATCGTGTAGCCGGGGACTTTCGGCGAGTTCCGGTCGATTCGTTAATTGCCTCGGAATCAAGGCGAGATGCGCGACCAATTATACGCTCGTTTTCTTTCTTTTCTTTCTTTTTTTTTTTTGTTTTTTTTTTTTTTTTTTAATGCAAGAACTGTTACTTAAAAATTTTTATATTTTTATCGAAGAAATATTCCTCACGATTATAAATAACAGTTGAGACATATTTAGAATAAGGGATGCTATTTCTTTGAGAAAAACGACCCGCTACTCACGTCGGCGTATTCAATTTACCGTAAAACACGATAAATAATTTGGCGATAAGACAGGCTGAACCCTTATGACAATAATCGTAAAGGTAGAGGGTGGTTGGTATCGGCTCGAGGGCACCCTTTCCTCACGTACGGTGTACCCATAACGCTCGTTCCGCAACGAGCCAACGTAATACGGCCTGGCCTAGACGACGCCATTCTCAAGATGGTCCGGGAGAAGGTCGGCGAAGGTGGCCGCGCGAGGGAGAGGAGGGAGGTAAACTCACGAAAATACAGGTTGCAATCTCGGCCCGAGCTCCGTGGCTAACGTTAAACGGATGTGTTATTATGGCTTCGGCATGCACGCCGGGCAAGATAACTGCATATTGCGGCTTAACCCCTTCTAGGAAGATCATTCGAGTCACGATGCCCCCGTCTCTCTCGATAATACCTCCCGCGGCGGAAGTATATCGCGTCTTCCAAATAATAACGTTTTATCTTGATTCCTTAGAATTTTCAGAAACTGACGATCTCGCTACCCCCATCTTTGTTTACACAAATTCTTTAACGCCTTGATAGGTTAACTTGAATTCTTATGTTGTTACTCGTTAAAAGTATAGAACGAAAAAAGATATTGGAAAAAATTGGCAGATGCTCCATTTAAAAGATAATAAAATTGTTAGAGCATATCGACAAAGCTTAAATTAATATTTATGGGATTTAATATAGATGATTACAGTGAGTAAACCTCTGTCTATCTTTGCACGTGTGTCTAAAGATGTGAAGTCCCAATTCCCGCGATCTTTTCACGATCCATCGTGAACGAACGACTTCCCGACGCGGTTAGAAGTCGATGTAACTTTCTGATAATTTTACAACGACACCTCTCTCCGTTCCGCGTCAAGTCCGCGCGAGCTGACCTCGCCGATAAACCCTTCCGGTTGCGTCGGGGCGAGTCCCGCGGGACGCGTCGATCCTCACGGAAGTCGGCGGGGGTCCGCGAGTCATTAATCGATACGGCGCGAATAAAGGAGCGCCCTGCGGATTATATCCGGGGGCGATATCTCTATCCGCGTTGCAGCTGCCGTACGTCTTGGAACCCGTGACAGGCAGGCAGGCAGGCAGGCAGGCAGGCAAGCAAGCAAGCAAGCAAGCAAGCAAGCAAGCAAGCAGACAGCCGCCGCCGCCGCCGCCGCTGCCGCCGCTGCCGCTGCTGCGATGGGTAGCGGAGAGGGTAGGGAGGATTGTCGGGAGGAAAGTCGAGGGAGATCCCGAGGGACCGCGTACCCAGGGTAGCTCTGACGCGGACTCAGACTCCCGAGGGACGCGAGCATCCGCCAGCGACGGCGCCGTCAACGAGGCACCTGCCTCCTCCTGAAGGACTCGGGAATATTGCAAGGGACCTTTGGTACCTGTCACACCAATCCTGCGTGTGTTTGTCAGACCGACTTCAAAGTAATGTAATTTTCAGTTCCAGAGGAAATAACGAGAGATATGATCTTTTAACCGCGTCGCGATCCTTTTCGAAGAGATATGTAGTTCTGACTTAAAAAAAAAAAAAAATAAGACGTTTCTAAATCCCAAATAAATAACGATCCCGCAACTATTTTCAATTAATCTCGCGAGAGAAATACAAGCTCGACTTTTTTTTTTGCGACCGCTGCGTTCGGTGCGAGCAGATTCCCTGCTGGAGGCAGGGCCGAAAGAGAATCTCTTAAATCGACGTCGTCGTTGCGCGACGTGCTGACGTGCATCGCCACAAAAGCGACGCCAAGTTTGCGGACTTGTCAACGGGTGGCCGCTTCTCAAAGGAATACCGCCGCGTCGCGGGAATGCGCGTTCTCGAGTATGTCTTTTGTAACGTGCGCTCTCCTTGCCACGGGGTACGCAGCCTTCCGCATACCGCCCGCTATTAAGAAGCACACGCACACGCACACGCGGACGCCCGTCTCTCGAAGTTCGCCAGCTTCATCTCCCGCCTTCTAATTCCGTACGGATGATCTAACCTTGTCGCGATCGCTGCAATTTGTAGCGGCTGCAACTCCGCGGGCTTCTCTACATCCTCATATATATATATATATATATATATATATATATATATATATATATATTATATATATATTATACG